TGTACTGTGTCACCCTGAGGTTCTCAAATTCCATTTTTGCAAATAAAGCAAGGGAAAAGATTCAGTATTGCCTATTATCCTCAATTATATCTGGTTTCAGTTCTTCACTTATCTACACCCATAATCTTTACCAGGGCATATACACATATTCCTTTCTAAAACCAAACGTTTCAGTAAACTGTGTGGCTTCGATGGATTTTCCAGTTTCCTTAAGTGGATTTTCCAGTAGATGACAGATAAAAATTTCTCTGAGTTCTCTTTTGCTGTCTTGCCCTTCTGTGACACAAAGCCATGTGGCAGAGGATGCAGCTCCTGTCACTGGCTGGTGATGTGGCCTAACACTCCTGCTGGTAAGCAAGTCACATCTCCAGACCAGCCTGGACAGGAATCTGTGGGCTCCATTTCTGAGCAGACTTGATGCCTCCTTGTTTGAGAGGAGAGTTTCTTACCTCTTCAGGTTCAGAGACCCACCTAACAAAACATGGTGGCCATACCAGCTCCCAGTTTTGTCCAGGAGGTGCAACAAAGTCTCTTAATGCCCTTCTTTAAATGTGGATAAGCTACATTTATGCTGCAGAGTGGTTCATTCACAAGTGGAATGTATGAATTCAAAAATCTGTTTGTTGTACCCGAGGAAATAGTTGCACTTCATGCTTCTCCCTGTCCCTGTGTGGACAGCCAAGTATTAGGGACATTTTAGAACCTCATTGTGAAGAGGACTGGGGGGGTTCCAAGAATACTGTTTATGGTTTGTTTAAGGTTATCAGTTGTGTTTCAAATAAAAACCTCACTGCAGATGATCATGGTGCAGTGCTTTGAACTCATTTAACTCAACATTATTTACAGAATATTTGTCTTGGTTATGGCAGTTTTTGTCATACGGCGATATTACTTCTCCATTATATACTGCATGTGACCACCATATAAGTTTGATAATAAATGTTGGGAAATAAAAACCAGAGTAAGTGCCTCAGTATGATAGCAATTCCCATGTGATGGGAAATAATGTCATAAACTTCAAATTACCTTTTAAATAAATGTTTATGTCCAACCCATCCATTAGATCATAGCCTGAAGGTCAGGAGGATCGTTTCTTCATCTTTCACTGTATGCATTATGGTTGCTTTTTTAGGTGTAAATGATGTTTTTAAATGAAGAATGGCACTTGAACTATACACAAACAATGGCTAGACATTACTGAGTCGCAGCGTGGCAGAAATAGCCTCAGCCACTCTGCTAAATATAGAAATGCAGCAGTAAATTGAATTCATTCTTAGAAAATATTTTTAATGGCTGAGACAATACAGAAATACAGTTCATATCATTCTCACAGTTTGAAGCTTTGACATTTTAGTCAAGTTTGAATTCTAGTTGTGGTTTGGTAAATGGCTGATTTGCAAAATGCTTGTGAGAGTGAAGATTTTGGAGAGGAAGGCAGAGCATACCTGAGCATGCAGGTAACAGATATTTATGACAGTCTGAACCATCTAGGGCTTAGTGCATTTGGGAAGAGATGCCAGCTCAGTAGGTGCCATGGGATGGTGTGAAACACCCCACTCTGAGACTCCCCTATTCCCAATGCCTTTCATAGGAATGGAACATTAATGACTCATCTCAAGGCCAAATTCCTCATAAAGACATTTCCCTGCTTCGAGCTGGACATCCCTTATCCGTATGTCCTGGAGGAACCCATATGGCTCCCCAAAATGCCCCATGCTTCAAAGCTTTTATATGTGGTGGCCTTGAATATGTTATCCCTTCAGTGCCAGGCTAGAAACCCAAGTGGGAGCTGCAGTGGTTGGGCTACAGAGAGGTGGCTCTGGAGAAGCAGAAGCTGTAGCTGTCCTGAGGTGGCTGATGTGTGTGGGAGGGGATGGAACAGGTTCCTCAGCTGGGGCTGGGCTGGCTGGAAGAGGGGGGAGGAAGAGCTGTTGAGGGCTGTCAGACTGATCTGGAAATAAATTAAAACCAAAAGCTTCTGTTTACAGGCAGGGGAAGACCCATTGTCATGGAGATTTAAAACCCCAATCAAGAAATTTAGTGGTGTTTTTGCTTTAGCTATGATTTGACCTTCCTGTTTACATTAAACATTTTTTACGGCAGAGTGCAGTGACATGGTTGCTTTGTTTGAGGTATTTGACAGCTACAGCAGTTCTGGGAATAATTGTTTTGGTTCTATATATGTCAGGAAAGAAATATTTTAATATTTGAAATCAGGTACATTTTTTAAAAAAATATTTTAATTCATTATGATTCTCAACTTCACCTTCTTCCACAAGGACCATGAACATGTTAAACTTATTGTTAAAGCAACATTTCTTAGTAATGTATTAAATACTTTATATCCAAAAAGATCTTTTTGGTTAGAGGTTAATCTGTTCCAGAACCAGTTGTCTATAATATTGTTTCCTTTGTCATTATAATTCATGCAAAAATGGTACATTAATTTCTTAGAGATCACTTGATCTCAATTCTTTTTTGTTAGCAGAGGTCTATAATCCTTTCCACAGCAACCACTTGTAAAAGCAGAGGATTATGACTTGAGGCAGGATATGAACAGCAGGAACAGATCAACTTAAAAACAAAGATCCTGTTTGAGTACAAATGCTATTGTTAGCACAGAGTTGGGGTGAGTCAAGTGGCAGGATGTCTATTAGAATGTAATAAATCCATATCAATGCCACATGGCATGCTAGCCAGAAGCCACATCCTTCTAGCAGTTATGTGATAGACCTCTTATTTTTATACCTTTACTTATTATACTTTTGCTTAGTCCAATAAACCATTCCCAGAGGGAATGTCTGATATCTAAACATCTGAGCAGCTTTTCAGTTTTCTGTGGATTTATTTTTCTGTCTAAAAAGTTTCCGCTCTGTTTTACTTTTCCCAAAATCTGCTAAAAGCAGGGATTTGAAATGACACTACTGCAAGGTTATTCTGAGGCTAGTAATAGTCACTGTGGACTATTGCTATCTTTTCTTATGAAGTGTGTGATCCTCCAGAGAAGAAAAAAAGCTTTTTTTTTTTGTTCCTATATTTAAAAATAAGAGATTCAATGACATCTTTTCCTTTATTAAAAAGTCTTGTGTTTAATACTGATAGTTTAACTGACCTATCTAACACTGATATCTGTGACTCAATTCAATGTATTTTTGAAGTTTAATTTATTTTTCTAATATTTTTCATGTTAAAGTTAGTAGGAAGTTACAAAGGTACCAAGTGACAGAATACATACTACTCGTGTGGAAAACTCCTACCTTTGATAGAAATTAGAAAAACTCTTTCATGGCCTAGACAAAATTAATAAAGATACAAAAATGCAGTGATGGAGTAGCAGTTTCACACGAGACAGTCTTCTATGCAGTTATTCCAACTACTGACACCATGTAGTAATCTCTGCTTCCCAAGCTTCTGTTAACTGAATTTTTGTAACAGAACTGAAATACAGCATTTATAAATGATATTAATTTGATCTCAGTATATCTAAATTTGTGTGTGCATACATACACACATGCTGTATTAAACACCATCAAATAGTAAGAGTCCACGTAAGGATCTCTAATGACAAGACAGAAGTTTTGGGAGAAAAGAGTATTTGAAGGGCCTGTAATCACTGTCACGGGGTGACAACAGGAGACTCAATATGGTGGTTTCAGGGAGTTTGTTTGAATGCTTGCTGATGCATGGATTAGGATCCCCCTTCGGTGTCCTAAAGTTAGCAAGGTTAAAAAAACCCCAGACATAATCTTAAGTTATATTTCGAACTCCTGTCTGAAAAGATTTTATTGCAGTTCATGAATAATGGTTTTCAGATCATCCTACTGATGGCCACTTGGGCTGCAACTAAATTGTCAATGAATAAGAATACAGAAGCTATGGCATTCCAATGGTATGAATTTTTCAGCCTGTATTATTTTGTTAGCCTGAGGCAAGAGATTGTGCTCTTAGTACTCGCCTGTGCAGAATGAGTAATCTGAGACAAATGTGTACCCACACTGCGTGTGCAATGTGGCCACATCCTACAGACCTACAGGCCGGTGTTGCTGTGTGGCACAGGCAGCCAAGGACCTCTCATGGACAATAGTCATATGTTAAAAAAATCATCATTTTATTACAATGTCTGTGATCTCACCACCACAGCTGATTCTAACAGCATTACAACATGACAGTGTAACTGTGGGTGTGCTCATCCTGTTAGAAACAGAATTTTATACTATCAGAAGTTGGTTTTACCAGCAGGATTTTCTGTTACCTAACCAGAATTCTGTATATTTGCATGAATTCTATGCATGAGAGCAACTGAAAATACGTATTCCCAGTGCTATCTATTTTGGTGTTTCAACATGACTTGCATTAGTGTGTGTGATAGCTTGAATTTTCTTTCTTCGCCAAAGCTGCTTAAACAATACAATGACAGATTTATGCTTTTATTCTTCGTTAATGTCATTCTTCATCCTCTCTGCCCCACATCAGGGAGGAAGTGTTGCGAGTTTGCTATTTTAATGAAGAGAAATGAGGCATCTATCAACTAGGATTTACACTGGAGAGCACATCAATTCAGTTGCCTTGAGCTTGCTGAGTTTGCATATCCAGAGCCAAGCAGTGCTCTCAATTACTCCTGTGCAATGCCATTAATTTCAGGAGGTTGTGTGGTTCAAAAGTGGCTTTGCAGAATGTGGGGCGGTATTAGGGAGAGAAAAAATAATACATCTGTTAGAGGAGTCAAGCTCCAAAATAAGATTTTTGGTTATCTGTATGGAGACGTGCGCGCAGTCATAATTGCACCTTTGAAAGGTTAGGGTAGTCATTGTGTAGTAATTTCATTGAGCATCCCTTTGTAGCTGTGCTTAACAGAACAGACAGCCGCCCAAAAATTACTGCAGTGAGGGGGAAAACACTTCCAGCCCTGGAAACATACTGTAAATCACATGTCTTTAGTAGACTCTATCCTGTAATTACTCTTAACCGTAGGTTGTTTCCTCCTCTCTCTGTTGCTCTAGGAGCTATGCCGGCAGCGCATGGCAGTGAAAACCTCTGATCGCCCCGAGCCCCTGCACTCGTCTCGAATCAACAGCGTTTCCTCTCAGTTCAGCGATGGGCCCATCCCCAGCCCCTCAGCCCGGAGCAGCACCTCGTCCTGGTGTGAGGAGCCGGTCCAGTCCAACATGGACATCTCCACCGGTCACATGATCCTGGTAAGGCACCTTCGTCTTCGTGGCACCAGAAACTGCGACAGAATTTTAGGCACCTGCTCAGCTTTTGGAAAGAGGTAGCTCTAAAAGACAGGGAAGAATACTTCTCACAGGTGGAAAATATTCGTGAGCTTCATTAGTAATCTTAACTTTGTATAATTAAAACTAAAGACATTTTTATTTCCATTTATTTTTCATTATATCTTTGTTTTTCTTCTCTTGGGAACATTCTTTTATCTTGGACATATGAATTGTTTGCATGCTTGCTTTTAAGAAAAAAATCCTTGTGGTGTCTTCTTGTCCTATTAATTTATGTTTAATTTATTAAATTAATTAATTACTTAATATTTAATAATAATTTAATATGCTAAATAAATTAATTATTTATTAATTTATGTTCTTGGACAGCTGAAGAAATCTGCCAAATTTCTGATCAGCTCACTACTTTTTTTCATGTGTCTCCAACATGTGGAGAGCTGAGAAGGCAACAGAAGATTAGTGATATAGAGCAATTTGTTTCTGTCACCCTTAAAAAAAAAAAGAGATCTGAATTTTCAGCCTTGCCTGGATGTTTTTTTTTGTCCTTGGTTGAATTTCTTCCAAGCTGTATTTCTCATGTTTGAAATGATCCAAATATATTCTATTGATGGAGTCTATGCTGGAAATCTTGGCTTACTTCCAAGCACAGCTTGAGGCCAGTATCAGAAGATGGACACATGAAGAGTTTCATGTGTAAAAAGTCAGAGTCCAGTGGTTGGGACTGGTGGAGTTTGTTTCTGTCCTGTTGGAGAGCTGTAGAGTAATCCTCTAATTTTTGTGCTTTATTTTCATCTTTTTTTAAATATTTACTTTCTCCCAGGAGTGCATTGACATTAGCTGAGTAGAAGTTAGGTGGTGGTGAAGAACTTGACCAAAAGTTGGGTTATTTTGCTTTATATATTTGACTTCTGCTTTTACCTGAAGTAAGCATCCTTTCAAATTGATAGTTTGCCATGCTTTTGGGAACTTCTCTCCATCATGTCATACTTTTGGGTTATAATTTTTAAACTTCTTTATTTTTCTGGGCTTATATTTGAAAGTACTGCCTTCTGAGGTATTTTTCAAGTTCTTACAAGCCAGCCTTACATAACGGAGAAAGAAATGAAGGCAAGCAAAACCCAAAAAACTAATTTGAACTCAGCCAGGTTACTGACCTACTTCAGCCTTGATCAGGTCAGCTATAAAACTGAGCAAAAGCAGAGCAGGATTTTAAACCAGATACTTCCTCAGAGTATCTCATCCCGTGTAAATACATCTCTGCCATCCCCCTCTCAAAAGTAATTAATTAATTAATTAATATGTTAATATCTGGTAGACAAGTGCAGTTTGGAAGAGTTGTTCCCATGACAGAAAACCATTTATTACAGTTTTGACTGTTCCACTTTTGCCTAAATATAATTAAAATTAACTCAATTTCCTTTAGTAGTTAAGTAAAATACTTGGGGGCTGGGGAGGAGGATGGGGAACCCCAAACATTTCCAGTTGCCCAACCTCAAAATACAAATTCTGAGGCAAGGTTCAAAAAGTTCTGAGGCAATATATTTGTATGGACATGAAAGCAAAATTTCCTGTGTAGATGGAAATATGCATTTAACATTTGCAATCAGTTTCAACTACTTCAAATTGAGCAAAATTGTTTTCAGTAATATTATTGGGAAATGTGAAAAATTCATCTCAAAATCATGCTTTAAGGAGAGAAAGTTGCATATGGGAACCACTTATTCTGGCTCTGCAAATTTCTTCAAAATTGCAAGAAAGTGTTGTCTTCATATGGCAATAAATAAACTTTAAAAAATAGTCAGATTGTTCAAGATCACTGTTACAGTGTTCAGTGTCCATAATCCAGTCAATCCTGTTTAACCCTGGATGAACTCATACATGTGTTAACTAACAGCAGATGTTATATCTTAGATGGTGAGGGTTCAAAGAAGGGTAAAGAAATGCCGTAGTGTTTTGAGAGTCACAAGCCACACAGAGCCACAGAGAGAGAGTAAAAGCAGTTAATTTGTTAAGTCTAGCCTGAACAAACAAAAATCAGTGATTCAGGGCAGTCTGCCTATGTGCTGTGGCATACAGGACAGGGAAAAATTGTTCTTAATGGACTCAGATGATATAGTTAGGAAGAAAATATGTATTAGCATCGAAAGGATGCATTTAGCTTTGCTATCAGGGCAAGTCTAATAGGAGGGTCAGGCAGGCAGGGGGATGTTTACTTAAGGAAGCAGTTAAACCATAAATACAAGATTTGCCGAAGGCGAAGCTGGGTTAGGTTTACATGGAAGGATCAGCATCTCTCAGCTACAGCACAGAAGCAGATGATTGGGCTTGATCATATTTTGTGTCACTGTAGGGTCACAATGAAACCAGAGAGCTGACCCAGTTTATGTTGTGCTCAACACTAAATGCACATCTCTGCAATGCCTTATTTACCTGAATTTCTCTCTTTCTGGGCATGCTGTGGCTTGTTGGACCTCAGCAACAGAAGCAGCTCACCAGAGGTGAACCCTTCCTCCCTTTGCCTCGCAGATATAAGTGGAGGAGAGTGAGGAAACACTTTGCAACTTTTATACCATTCAATGCAAGACATTTTTCAGTTCTTCTCATTTCCCTCTCCCACAATCCTCTTACCTTTTAAATTTTGTAGATATTTTCTGTGAAAAATATCTCAGTGCCCAAAAAAGCAATGAGAAATATTAGCAAGGGGCCTAGTAAGAATGGCAAATACCCTCTGTTTTGTGGGGTAAATGCACTTACAGGTCTGTAAATGTGTTTTTGAGCTCTACAATGTTCTGTGAAGGGGTAGTTAGCTGAGCTAAGGCTCCTCAGTCCTTATTGCTCATAGGTGCCAGGATCTCCCTAGAGATAATAAAACAATGGATTACTGTGTAAAGTGGCAGCAGGAAATAATTTTTTTGATCCATAAACAGAATAAAACTTTAATGAAAATAGCTTAGAAGTGTGTGACTGCTGAATGACTCCATGTAATCTTATTCAGAGGTAGCGCTGGTCAGGAATATTTCTGTAAAGCTGTTTAATTTGCTGGAAAATGCTATCAGTCATAGCTGCCATCATATCTAAGTCACCTCAGCTTAGGGTTTGTTGGAACTTGAGTTGGCCACAGGTACTGTTTTCTTGGAGGACTTTCCACTTGTTAGCCCATGGTTTATAGTGCTCAAGGTGTGCAGAAACCAGGAATCTTCCAAACCCTTGGGGTGTGGGGCAGCCTCCTCAGACTGAAACCAGCCTTCAAAGGGGAAAATCCTGCATTTCTGCCACTTCCCTGTGCAGCAAAGGCGATGCCTGCACTGCTGACAGCACTGGGAGGTGGTTTGAGCTGTTGGCAGGAGGAAGCAGGGAGGGCTCAGGAGGCCCAGAAGGACAGCGATAACAACATTCAGAGCTCTTTTTTTTTTTCCTTTTCACTGTCTTTTTCATCACATTTCTAACAGGAGGGTGGCGCATATGGCACATTTTGATTCTGTCTTTCTGAAAAATCCAAGCACTTTGGAAAGTGTAATTAGAGGAGCATGTTTAATGCAGTCATGTTTGTGGCCTGACTGGCTGGTTTCAGCATAAGCAACAACTCAGGATGTGTGCCCTCATTTTGGTCACCACTGGTTTAGCAAGAAAACATCATTCAGAAGGGAAAGAATACAACAAGGGAAATAATAGAACTTAAATTTCCACCCCCTTTATTCTCACGTGAATGTCTATATTTCAGCTGACAAGAGTAGTTCTAAGAAAGGAAAACAATTCAGTTTTCAGTCCAGCAAGAAAACCAGAGACGGTTTAAAAGTGATCAGGAGAAATTTAGTCTCCCTAACTTGGGCTCCTATATTTTAGGCACTTAATGAAGTGTTGGTGTTGACTTAAGTCCATAAATTCCCCCTCTAGTTGATGAAGTGAGTAGGTGGCTATGAAGGTCTCCAGAGAATTGGGGCAGAGAGCAGATTTGTCTTGAGCTGCCTCCTTTGTGCCTGCACAATCCGGTTGATGTTTGCAGCTTACATGAAGGAGTCTCTTTTGTTTGTGCTGTAGCACAGGTTCAGCACCGAGGTGGATTGGATCCTACACCTGCTTCACATATTACCGTGCTTTTTGGTTAGAATAATTATAATCTTTTATGGGGTTTTAAATGAAGAACAGTACTGCAAGAAGGGAATGTATGCTTTTGATGACAGCATTATCAGGTTGTTATCTGAATACCGTATAAAAGAGGGAATTTGCAGAAGCAGAAGTGATTTTCTGTGTTTCGCAGGATTTTCTGTGTTTTGCAGGTTTTTTCCTTGTAAAGACAGATGTGCAAAGTTTGGAGCATTATACATCAATTAGAATTTCAGAAAGTGTGAATTTACAAAAGGTCTTTTTCAGTATCTTTTGGAAGCTGAAATCTGAGAAATCTTCTCCCAGAGGGTATGAAAATGCTTCATGTATTGGAAATAATAACAATATGTGATTGTGATGATGTTCTTTTCAGAAAGAGAATAAAGTTTCATACTTGGGCTGAATGAGTTGGTGGGAGCAGATGAGCTACAGCCTGAAATCTATGGCCTTTTATCTAGGAGATGTAAGTCTACTTAATCCCCTTGTCTTTGGCAATATGGCTGTAAAACCAGCACATTCACCCCAGAGAAGTGAAGGATGGCCTCATAGGAGAACTTTCTGCCACAGTCCTGGGACAGGTTGTGTCCCAGAAGGTGACACAGCCTTAGCTGGGGGCCTGGGGTGGGGGCCTGGTGCTGCTGAAACAGGCAAACCCTAGGTGCTGAATTTTGCATCCACTTCAGTTTTGGTGCTGAATCACTGGCAGGATTGCTGTAGGACTGGGAAGGGTGACAAGGAGGGAATAGTTTCCAAGACTGAACCTGGGGGTTTTTGATAATATTGTTATCCTGTACTCTATGAATAGCAACTTTTTGAAGGTTTCTTAGCAATTTCCCCCTCACTCGCATTTTTTGAAATTA